AGCATCCGCTAATGAAAATGCTTGGACCCTTTCCCTACCCATACGAAGTAACTCTGTCGAAATTTATACTCTAAGAAACTTTTCTTGGCAGCATAAGAAAAATTTGACTCGTCGCCAATCGGCACTAAATACTATATTTAACTACCGTATATAACCCGTGTATACTGTATTCAATCGATCCTCCAAGTCTTTTAATTTCATCTTTATGACGACAATAGACAATCTACAGAATGATGAAGGCGTAATGAATTCGACTTAAGTGACTTGCTATTGCATTAGCGAACTCATTTCGAGAAGCGGTATACTAAATCCATAATTCGAAAAGAATTTCAGAATAAGATTTATAGATTTAAGGTTTTCTACAACTGTAACCAAAGTTAGGATCATATCAACGCTTGCCCTGTCATCTATATTGCAATAGGCAAATTAAACATCTGTCATCTTTAAACTAACATACCTTTATTTCATACAAGTCTATTGAGCCGTTTATATATAGATAATCGCTATAAGTTGCTTTTATGGAACTATGTGAAGAAATTACAATTTGTTGGTACGAGTACCATAAACTTTCTTGCAATTAATTATAATTTGATCTCCGAATTTACGCGAAGTCATCTCTGTGCTACTATATTATTCCAAAATTTTTAAGAGAAATAATCCAACTCTCTCGAATTAAGTAATTTTCGAAAACAAAATAATCAAAAAGGTTATTCTAACTAAAAGTCTAGTAATAACTGCAACACCCAATCTTAAATACTTAGAGTACAAAAACTTCATAATACTTGCGTATGAACTAATTAAAAATGCGAAAATAAAATTATTTTGTTTTCCTTTTCATTTAGAAAATATCCGAAAAATACAAATTAAGTGTAAAACTTTAAATATTAAAAAGAATTGAGGTTAACAATGAAATTATTGTTTGTATTTCTTAGATTGAGTAGTCAGTTTTATTTAAAGGTTTCCATTTTATTACGAACCAAAAACAAAAAAAAAATTTATTCCTTTTAATTTTCAGTTGTTTTTTTTTAGGGCGGACATGTTTATTTCATTTTCATTATACGCGGATTTTGGATTTTTATAATAATATAAGATAAGCAGGAACTCAAAATTTTAAGACAAAGAAAATAAAATAAAAGTTTATCCATTCTGCCGATTTCATACTCTTCGTTTGAAAAGAAAACCTTATGAAAGAAAAAATAAAAATCTACTGAAATAAAAAAAAAGTTTCTGTTTTCCTAAAAATAATCTTGTACTAAAAAGCAGGAAAGAAAACCAAAAAATAAACTTTGTATCTTTCAGTTTTAATTAACTTTGAATCCTCAGTTTATTATTTCTTATTTTGTTTTTTTTTTGGTTATGTTGTAAAGTAAAAACCAAAATGAATTTCATGACAACATACTTAATTTTTTTTTTTTATGACATAAGTTTAATTAATAATAATATTTAGGTTTAATTTTGATATAGTGCATTGTAACATATTGAAATAAGAATATTGTAATTAAAAGGTTACTTAACTAACACAAAACTAAAACTGACAAAAACTAAATTAAGTTTATATACGATTCAGAAATTCAAATTCAATTGGCTTACACGCCTGTGGCTTTAAAGAATAATCGTCTAATTGAAGAAAAAAAAATGAAGATATGATAACCTTCACACCCACCGCACAGGGATTTTCATATACACTGAGACTTTAAACGGTTCCCGTCCAAAGACTCTGCAAAAATGTATCAACACCCTTTATAAATGTAAGACTAATTACAGTTTGTTATGAAGCTTGACTGTCTTAACCGAAGCCGGTTTAGATATTTAATTATTCTCCGTTTCTTCGTGACACAATTAGATACAAAACGAGCTCATTACTTTATTAAAACAATCTACTGAATTCTCAATTTCTTAAATTTTACTTAACGTTGAAATTCTAAAGTGCATTCCAGAGGGTGACCAATGACCATATTGAAAGTGAATTTGGTTACATCAACATTGACTAATATTTTGTACATTCAATTCTCGCCTTCTGAAAAAGGCGACTATTAACCCTGATTCTAATGTCATGTGACAACTGAATTTCACTCTACGATGTTTATAAAAATCAAACCTGTGATTACAAACAAAAACCATTATAGTCGACATTGGTAGTTCTTAATTTTATTCCAAGTTCTAATTCTTAAAAAATTCTCCGCACACATACTTTTAAGGATATACTCAAATTAATAAACTAGTCAGCTTAACACACTCTTTTCTATGGTAATTGTTGAATCAAGCTCAAGTCTTACAGACCATGGTAGTTGAAGTTATTTGATCGGCTATCACAGAATTTCTTTTTATAGCTTTTAAGTATTTTTTTCTTTTTATAAATTTTAAGTATCGGTTTAAAAATCAAGATTTCATAAAGATTATTGTTAAATTCAATTCCACAATCTCCTTTATTTTTCATAACCTTAAAAACCACTTAATTCAAATTCAATTATTGAAGAGTATAGGAGGTATAGCTAAATATATTTTTTTCGATCTGGAATTAATTGAAATTATTTTTTCCTTATTCTCTCCTAAGGACATAGCACAACAAATACACTTTCAATTATTTGAATATTACAAAAAAAAATCGCACGTGTGGGGTTCTTTCTCATAGAATAAAATAATTGGCATCTAAATATCTAATTTTAAAGTTATAAAAAAAAAAAACAATAAATCCTAGAAAAAATTTCTTTTATTTTTTTTCAACCTGCTTCCATTCTATAGTGGGCGGTTGGTGTGGATGTGATTGTAATATCCTTATATACTTTTAATACATAAATTATATTTTGTGTATTTTTATAATCAAAATAAAGACTCCCTGCTAAGTGTTTTAGTTTATTATAAAACAACACAAATACGTAAAAATGTTAACATATTTTTCTTATAGACTTGTTTTTTTTTTATTTCGATTCCCTATACGACGTAAGTCATACTCTTTTATGAGGAAATATTTAAAAGGAAGTTTCCTGTTCGGAAAAAAAATGCAAGGATATTCGAATAACTTAAAGAAATGCTAAGAATGAAAAGTTTTTTTTCTTTTGGTTTTCTTTCTTTCTTCTTAAAGAGTACGGAAATATTTTGTTTCTTTCAAGTTTATTTTTTGTTTTTTCTTTTTTACTTCCTTTAAAAACCATATTGCGAATATGTGAGTAAATTATTAAAAAAAAAATAAAAAAAAAACAAAAGGATATTGTTCAATCCTTATGACTACTACTCCAGATTTAGTTTTCAATGATCAATGTAATTTTGTTGTTGATTAGAGCCCAATTACATTTAAATCTCTATATAAGAAACAGCCCAAAATATCATAAATATTGTTCATAAGACAGAAATTTCATAATATGAAGCCTGTAAAACAAATTTTTTATTACAAATAATTTATTTTAATTTGGAATGCTCGTTTATAAAGATTTCCGACACATTGGCCAGATGGGGGGGCGGAGGCTGATACTGCAGAAATGCACTGATCGATGCTTCCCTACTTAGGGGTATTGAAGATTATAGATGAGGAAACTAGAAGAAGGAAAAACTTTCTTTGATATGGCGGGAGGACTTGTGCAACGACATGGGTCATGTGGCCACAAAGGAGCGGTGCAAGGACGAGAGAACTGCTGACACTGAGCAGGGAGAATCTTAGTATTGCGGTAGACATTTTGACGGGACAGTATTTATTGGGAAAGATAAGAAAGACAGAAATTGCTGGGAAAAACAGCATTTCCTCTTCGGATATTTACTGGGGACGCCAAGGCATTGGGGTTGTGAAGGATGTCAATCACACGCTATGCGAGTGCCTTTCTCTGATACGGAGGAGGGAACACGTTTTGGGAGGATACCGGTTCGACGGATTGGAGGAATTCTCAGGGACGCCTGTGGGTGATCTACTGAGACTTTTCAAGCAAATTCAACGGATTTAAAGGGACAAGTGTGTGTTGCAGGGATGCCGATAGGCCTCCTACAGGCTAAATGATGGGTGGCATCGTTAATATTTTAGATCACATTAATAGTAAATTTGTTTAAAATAGTGAGGGAACTGCATTGCCTTCATCTTTACTCAACAAATTGAATTAAATTCGACTCAAATATTTGCGTATGCGTAGACCAATTTCGCTACTATTATTTTTTTATATTCCTTCTTTTTTTGTAATAATCAAGTTATCTGTATTTATTCTGTTCTACCATTTCATACTTGCAATTATTTTTCTCAGTGACTCGGTCACATTTTTACCTCATTTAAGTTTTCCTCAAATGCTATTATATATGACTTTTTTAATTGGCTTAAAATTATCACATTACATTTTTTCAGAAGTATTTTTTCGAACTGTAATTTTATAAAAAAAAAATCAAGCTAACACTTGCCGTAAACCAATATTCTCCCGTATTGTGAACAGTTTATGAATGAGGGTGAAATAAAACAACAAAACCAAGTAAGTATATTTTTGTTTTTGATTTATTTGACCCCCATTAATGTTTGAAAAGTGTTGTTTGGTTCCCTTGGTTCTATTCAGTATTTTTTTTTAAGTTTTTTCTTATTTTGTTTTTTGTTTGAACATAAAACGATTTATTTATTTGATACGGTAATAATGGTGTAGAATGTTTTCACTTAAATTTTTTTTTTTTTTTGGTTTTTCTTCTTTTCATTTTAAGTAAATGAATTTTCGTGGTAAATTCAAATTTATTTTTTTTTTCTTTTTAATTTTTCGAAGTCTTTTTCTTATTGTTTTTCTTTTATGAACTTTTAAAGTTTTATATTTTATATCTTTAATATATTTTGGGGAAAAAATAATACTACATTAGATTTTCTTTGAATATAAAGCTTATATTTAAAAAAAAATGGAGGGGGGGGGGCGAGGGGGTTAGTGCTTATCTACACAACCCACAATAAATTAGGAAATAGATGAATTTTAAGTAATAACAAATTTATTAGTTAGATTGAGTATAAGTAATTGAATAAGCATTTTTTTTTAATTAAAAAATCAACTTACAATAACGGCAATAAATTTGACGAAATTCAAATTGTCTTGAATCTGAAAGTAGAAGAAAAAATTCTTTGTTTAAAATAAATTTTATATTGAAATTCTTTAGAAATTCATGCAAGTTAAAAAATAAATTGCTGACATCAGACGAGAATTACTGAATTCTGTTTCAAAATGAATTGCTTAATTCATGTTAAACAAGAGCTGCGGATTCTAGCTGATTTAAACATACCTAGCTGATTTCAAATTAGCAGCAAATTTCGAAATTAGGTATAGTCGTCATAAGTATCATTCCATTTTAAATAAAATAAACGATTAATATTGTAATTTTCATATCTTAATTTAATTTTTCAAAAATTGCATATTTTTCGGGGCACAGTAATATTTTGTTTCACAAATTTTGATTGTCTTACTTTAGTTGTAAAAGCTAAAAAAGCTCACACTGCTTTAAAATTTCCAAATAGAATAAAAGGCATCAGAAATTCAAAATAATTCTATGATATTTTCAAGCCTTAAGTAGGTATATTATCGAAAAATATCATAAACAAGTCAGCCGCAGAGCGGACATACTTGCGTAATAATAGCCTCGTCCATTTTAATATATTAATAACAAAATAGCTTTTGTAATTTTTATGATTCATACGCATAAGACGATTCTATATAACACAATAAGCAAGAAAGTTCATACAGTAAATATCCCTGTAAGTATGCAAAATACCATAAAATTAAATTATTAAACAATATATCATTTATCAAGACAATTTCAGATCTTATCAAAACAAATATTTTTCTTAATTAATTTCGATCAAATAATTAAAAAGGGATTGTGTATGGAAACCTTGAATAATTTAAATTTTCTATTCCAAATTTAGAATTGAATTGACTCCTACACAATTTAAATTTGATTAAGAATAATTTACAGTGGAATATAATTAATTTTGCTCAGGATAGGGTAATTGCACTTCAGTCATAGTCTGGTATAAAGAAAATTTTTGCATTTTATTAATAAAATCGCTTTAAAAATAAAAAAAACGAAAAAATCTTGCATGATTAATTATTGGTAACAACTGAAACCTGTCAAATTTTCAATTTCATCCCTTCTCATTCAAATGTTTTTTTTCTATAAATCGTAATTCACTGAATCAATTTTCATATTATGAAAAATAGAAGTAAGTTAATTTTAAAGAAAAATAAATCCACCCCATCTTCTTATTTCCCAGCCTAAGAGGAATTGCGACTGGCAAACTTTTTTCTTATTTTCTTATTTCTTAAGTTCCTAAAGTAGGTACTAAAAAATTCCCTTTTAAAATAAAATTTTGCTTTTTTTTTGTGACTGTTTGTATCTTAAAATGTTTATTTTTTCTTTATTTATTATTGTTTAATTTAATAACGTCATCAAATCAAAATGTCTCTCTCGTTGAAAAGAGGGCGCTGGAATGTCAAAGAATTTTTGGATTTATTTCTGTTTTTCTTTCTTTCTGAAACAAAATTAAGTGATGAATCTATTCAAATGTCCTGTCAAAAGAAATTTATATTCAAATAATGAAATTGTAACAATTTTTGTTGTTTTCATTTAAATTTCCTCTTAAATTCAATTGTATAGGGTTCACATAGGCCATTAGAATAGGACAGTTATTGTTTATATAACTATAGCTTTGAGAGAATCCCGAATTTTTCTCAAATGCGTTATGGTATTGTGATAAAATAAGTCTTAATTACGATAGCTGACAGACAGCTATCATTAAAAGCTTCAAGTTAATTTAACTAGAAATTAAATCTGGTAAAAATTTTAAATGTAATTACATTTAATTGTATCCAGTGGTCACTGAAATATACCGAATTCACACAAAGTTTTAAAAGTACTTATATTTTTACCCTAGGCTATACTTTTCGTAAAACGATGGTTGTATTTTCCTGAAAGAAAGCTCATATTTGTAAATGAAATTCTCTAATTGATTTGATATTTTCCTTGTTGGGGCAATGTGAGTCTAATATGTACAGGACGTTTTCTCTAACTCATCGACTATAAATACTACTTAAAATTAGAATAACTACAGAAGAATCTAAAAGCTTTCAAGAAGGCATTTGTAAGAGAAGATCGCAACAAATTCTGGAATTGATATTTCTCAGGTCTTGGATCGTTCATTTTTGGTGCATGTATATAAAAAAAGACTCCGAAAGGATCTTGAAATAAGTGTAATCAAATATTGCCTTGTGGAAGAACAAATATCGTCCGAAAGCCGACAAAGTCCTTTTCGTGGACTTTTATGAGAATCTATCAATGCGGCATGACATTTTATTAGATTATGTAAGCCTTACATTAAATTTTTTTTTTCTTTATTGTATAAAAATTAAATTGAAATCGACAATATTTCATCATTTCATTAGTTTTCGATAAATCTGTCAATGGATCTAAATTGTATTTTTGCTCTTTATTTAATTTCATCTTAAAAAATGAGTAATATCGAAATACACCTACATATAAACACATTCATATACTGACTCACATCACTGCTTTAATGCACACTTATTGAATAAAATTAAACAAATCGAGAAAAAAAAATTTTATGTGCTATAAATAAAAAAAAAATGTTTTTTCTTAAAAAAAAAAAAAATTTGCTTGCCCCATAAGAAAAAAGAAACATTAGAATTTTACTTATACACACAAGAAGAAAAAATAGAGTTGACCATGTCAACTTGGTGATACCCGTACGTATGTTTTTGAAAAGCAAAACCCTGTTATTAAACTTGGTGAACTTAGGTGGCAGTGAGTTTGCGTGTTTATTGTAATTTGTATAGGTCTACCTCTTACAAATTATGCATTACAAAAATTTATTGGAATAATTGTCCTAACCCAATACTCGTTTATGCTAAGTTTAAATATTGCAGGTTTGACAGTTTCTTAGATCTGACCAAATTATTATTCGAACTGTATGGCGGTCAATGTAAGAAAATAAAAATTTATTTATATACTCTTAACTTCACTGTTTCTAAATTATGATTAAATTATTTTTAAAGTTGCATGGAAGCTACTCGAGCCAGTGTTGTGATTCACATCAAATTAAGTACGGGTTTTGTGATACCAATTTTAGTATTGCTGAAAATATTATTAGCCTATCCCAAAAGGTTTCTTTGCTCTCACTGGAGTGGACAAACGGACACACATAGTCAAAACATATAAGATAGATATAAATATTTATTTCTTAGCGTTACAAACGGAATGACAAATTTATAATATCCTTTAATAATTCGTTCAAACGAATAAAAAAAAAATTAATTTTGATTTGTGAGAAATTTGAAATGTGAGAAAATAAAGTGAAATTGAAGAATAATCGTAACTCTCTCTAGTTCTCTATTTACATTTTTTTTTTCTAAAATAAATAAATAAGAAGATAAAGAGAAAAAATTCTAATCAAATAACAGTAAATAGGCTAATTTTAAAAAATTGTAGATACACTTCTACAATATATGTATATCTGGGGGGAATGAAATCGAATAGCAGAGTATCAGAGAAACTTTATGGGCTTCTTTTATTAAAAATTTAAAATTTGGTGTTTTTGGTCAAAAATGCTATTATGTGCCTTCACATATCACTCAATGTCAAATTTCAGAATTGAATTTTCAGTGCTAATTACTTATACTGCGTAGTTAATGTGTTAAGTATTCAGAGTGTTGAGACTAACCTATACATAAGTTAGTCTTCAGCATAAATCGCTGATTATCATTTTGGATATTAATTAAATCAATAGTCATTTTTGAAATTGCAATCTGAGCAGCAGACCAAAAATATTCAATTACAATTCATCCCAACCATAGCATTATTAACATTACTATCACTACTCTCATATTCAAATTATAAGTGTTGATTATTCATATTATGAGGTATAGGTGCATGCTTTGAACAACATTCTTGTTCTAATATTGCCTCATTTAAATGTGGTTTTCGAATCGATTGGAGCGGATCGCTCCGCACAATTCTATTCAATTTATTATTGTATACTTTTTACTCAATTGTTATATTATCACAACATAAGAGTGTAAAAGATTAAATGTACTGTACAGGAAATTTTGTAAATAGTTCGGTGACAAAAAAGATTGCAAAAATAACTTTAATATTTTTGAAATTCCTATGTCATTTCAAAGTCAATTGCTAATTTATCTTAAATTCTTTTATTTACAGTTAATAAAAAAAAATTAATATATTTCAAATAAGTTTCCAAAACTAAAATAATTTTGGTGTTATAAAGAATACCAAAACACAAGCAAAAAAAAAACAAAAATTAAAATAGAAAAAAAAAACGAAAGTAAAAAAAACTTTTACTTTTTTTTTCTCCAAAATGAATCCCAAATGAATTTTCATTAAAGATGAAAAAAGATGAGAGAGACAGAGAAGGAGAGAAAAATTTAAACAGAGAAAAAGAATAATTTGGTAATTTTGTGTTTTGTGTTATTTTTTTTGCTTTTTTTTTCTATGTGCTTTGTTTTTAATAAGACCCAACTGCATTTCATTTTACCGCACAAACCACAACATATACATAAACAAATTTCTCATAATATAGCAAATTTACAAAATTTATTACATTTTTATCTATGTATATACTCATATACGAGTACATACATACATACATACATACATAGGCTTGTAAATTTATTTATGATTTGAAGTATAAAAATGGTGTATGAAACTAAAAACCGCCGACTTTTTTTTCGGATTTTATAGTGATAAATTGAAAATTCTCTTATGACTAATAAAAATTTACATTTTCAAGGGAATAACGAAAATTGCTTTCGTTGTTGGTTTTTTTTTCTTGTTTTTGCTCTTCTACCATTTAAACCCATAAAAGTAAAATATTTTTAATAACAAAGATGTTAAAATTAAAAAAATTAACCCTTTTTTGGGCAAATTAAATTAATATACTGGAAACGTTGTTCTTCTTTTGAAATTCTATTTTAACGTTGCGAATAGTGGCACGGCGCCGCGTTCGTGCAATGTTATCTGTAATTATCTTAATTCTGAATAAAATCACCAGATCTCTGGCTTTTAGTAAATA